TCATGAGTATAGCATTAAACCCTCCTTCAGAAGAATACAATTCACATCAGGAAAAAATACTTCTTAATGTACATAGTTTTACGGTATAATGTTTCTGGTGCCATTCAAAAATAAAAAATCAGAGAAAAAATTTTGTCTCTCAAATAACAAAACATTTTTTTCAATAAATTTATACTACTCATTCTAAATATTTAGTAGTTACATTTTTTTTTGCTCAATACTATATGTTAAATGCATTTTGGAATTGTTTAGCATTAAAATGTCTCAACAAAATTCTTCTTGTTTGTTGTCACACAAAAAATACATATGAATGAAAATGAATGCAATTTCCCATTATAAAGGGACAGCCTTCACAATAGTGAATATATGTATGCATGTTTATGAGGATAGGTATTTGGTTAGTTAGGTTATCATTAATAGTGTTTGTTGCATAATATATATGTGGTAAATATAATGTGTGTAATACTTTATCGTGTACCATTGTCTCATTCTACCAACAAAATACACAGACAAGAAGGAAACATCGATACAGTAAATGGTTTATGTTCAATGGAATAATACTTATTAATTGATAATCCTAAAAAAAGCATGTTCACAATAACATCCAACAGGTTCACTAAACTAACTAATCACACAATCAAAATAGAAATGACTCAGTTATTTATGTTCCACAATTCAATGTTGAACGAAATCTTTATATCATATTAACCATGTAGAAATGTATAATCCTCATTTCTATAACGTCTTATAGTGACATGGATCTAGCAATGAAATAACTCATAAAATTAATTAGAAATAAATCATAGAATATTGCGCAATGTGATTCATATTGAAAGGAAAACAATTCAGGGTAACGTGATCATTTAATTTCACCCCATTGAAAAAAAAGCAATGCTAAAGCCCAGCTAGTTTGAAAAGATGTACCAATTTTAGCATGGCAATGTTAGAATTTCTGTTTTCGTTAGTAATTAAGTGCAACCTGATTTTTCGGCTCAAATTATTTACTCAGTTCATGGTCAATCTCTTCTCTGATTGACAAACCTCTTTTGTCATTTCCTTAGAGAATAAGCTAACGTTTCCGGTTAGATCATATATCACAATAAAATTAATTAAATTATTCTATTTACATGAAGCCTAGATAAAAGACAAATTAAAGTAATTTGTAATGGGAAGCAATACGGGTAGACATTTCTCCAAACTACTTACTTAATTACTTACTTACATCTGTTACCCCTAATGGAAAATAAGCCGCTGACCACTTTTCTCCAACCTACTCTGTCCTAGTCTTCCCTTTCTAGTTCTGTCCAATTTTTATTCAGTTTTCTCATGTCTGTTTCCATTTCTTGACGTAATGTGTTCTTTGGCCTTGAGAGTTCCAAGTGAGGGCTGGTCTTGTGACGCAATTGGGTATTTTCCGCAATGTGTGTTCTATCCACTTCCAGCACATCTACCTGAATTCTTCCTCCGCTGGAATCTGGTTTGTTCTCTCACACAGTAGTTTGTTGCTAATGGTGTCTGGCAAACAGATTTGAAGTACTTTGCGTGGACAACTGTTAATCAATACTTGCATTTTCTGAATGGTGACTTTCGTGAATCTCCAAGTTTCCGCTCCACACAGTAGAACTATCTTGACATTTGTAATGAAGATTCTGACTTACGTGTTTGTTGACAGTTGTTTTGAGTGCCAGATATTCTTCAATTGTACAAATGCATCCCTTGCTTTGCCGACCCGAGCCTTCATATATCACCACATGATGATCAGGAAAGAGAGAAAGGGTAAGAGTAAGTAACCTTACCTGACACCGGTCTTCACTTCAAACGAGTTTGTCAGCTGTCCTTCGTGCACGATTTTGCAGTTTAATCCATCATAAGAATTCCGTATGATGTTGAGTATCTTCTCAGACACACCGTTGTGCCGACCTTTTGACTGATTAGGTGCTTTTGTTTTTGTGTTTGTATGGGAATATTGTGCCGCCAATGACCAGTTTGTTGAAGGCACATAGGTTTGCAAATCTCTCACCGTTTCGTTCCTTTCTCCCAGTCCATGACGTCCCATGATGTCTTCATATCCAGTGTTGTCCATGTCAACCTTGGCATTTAGGTCTCACATCAAAATCACCAAATCCTTTGATGAGCATCTATCGACGAGTGACTGCAGCCTCTCATAGAATTGATCTTTAACGTCTTCATTGTTATCGTTGGTAGGTGCATAGCATTGTGTGACGTTCATTGTAATGTCCTGTTTTTTTGTTTTGAAGGATGCTTTGATGATCCTGGGTCCGTGAGATTCCCATCCAACCAGCGCCTTCTGTGCTTGTTTGGAAAGTGTCAGTGCAACCCCCTGTATGTGTGAAGCATTTTCTTCTTCTTGGCCGGAGTAAAACAGTAGCTCTCCTGAAGCTGATTTCAGTTGTCCAACCTGCATCTAATGCATTTCACTGATTCCAAGCACCTCCAGCTTGTGTCTTTTCACTTCTGCAGCAACGTGGAATAGTTTTCCGGCCTCTCACAATGTTTGGACTTTCCACGTACCTAAAAGAATGGTTGGTGTTGTTGTCAGAAGGGATATCGGCCTCGTGACGTTTGAAGAAAATCGGCTCTCATCATGAGAAGTCATAACTCTTCAGATTGTGGACTTACTAACTCTCAGGGTAGAGTTAAAATGGCCTGAATTATGTTTTCTGGCCATCGTTTTTTTATGGGATGTGGTCGGCAACCCCATGCCCAAACGTCCTCTTTCATCCGGACGCAGGACCAGCAGTAGCCCCAGAAGCGGCTCCAGGAGGAGTTTCCAAACAACTAGGAAGTATAAATTTTGTTTCCTTAAAAATCAAGAATTACCCACGGAGTTCTTTTAAAAGAAATTCATTCCGGTCCGTCAAATTTGCTGGAACAATAATTTATTTAGCTAGTAATTATTGTTACTGCTTAATTATGAATGATTAGTTGGAAACTTGATGGTTACCTAAGTAGCTATGAATTTATCAATAACAATATGCGTGCTAAGTAGGACATACATAAGTTATAAGCTTTTTACTGGAAAGATTAGATATCGAATATCTGGAGGCTATTTGCGATCCGAACAAAGAACCGAAGGGAAGATGAGGCTTCATTTCGATCATTAGACTGAGTACAAAACCAGAGGATACATGTAAGACTATAAGTAACAATAGGATTTTTAGGCGTTTCCTCAAAGCATGTTAAAACTGGTAAACAAGACCCTTTCATTTTTCAATCAGGTTACAGAATGCATGATGAGCTGTAGTCGAAATTTTTCTTTAGAGTACTCAAACAGCGCTGATTGGTCAAGTTACCTTTAACATCTTCAAAAAGCAAATATGAGTCAGACAATAGTTTGTTAACACAAACACCAACAGTTAACACAGTAGAACTCAACCTCCTGCATATAAAAAAATAAGCTATCTATTTTTTTCTGAAATGAGTCATGGTTTAGTTTCGTTTGACACACCAAAAAGTGAGTAATTCATAATTAGCATTTCAATGAAATCAAAGAACTACAATCTCCACACTTAGTCCAAGCCAATGCTGTTTCTTTGTTATTATTGCACAACACCATACAAAACAGTAGCAAATTTTTCGTGTTGACTTTTTGATAGGGGCGTTAAATCATCAGAACTCACTTGGAAAGTTATTAATTTTGTGATTTATTCCTGAAATTTTGCATTTTTTATGTTTTCGCGCCAAGAGACGCTTAATTGACCTTCAGCTTACATTTCCTACTCGGAAATCCCTGATTATCATTGGCCGATGTATTATTATAGTACGCTACTTTGTGGCTCTTAACAAGGGCGTTTCTATCACTGTTTAAATAAGCTTGATTTGTGTGCTTAACAACCTCGTATTTTCTGAGTGTTTGTAGAATGAATACATTTTATACGCCTTATCAACAGTTCTTGCTTTTGTTAGCATGGCCTGGTACAATCAGATTAGAATAGCCTATCGTGTCACTTAGTCATTGCTTTCGTTCCGTTTACCGAGTAAGATGAACGTGTAATAGTATTCAACATACATAAAGGAAAAAGCAAAATTCTCCGATGCAACACAACATGCACCAACCAAATCACTCTTCATGGAGATGCCTTGGAGGACACTAACACCTTTACATATCTTGGCAGCATCATCGACAACCAAGGTGGATCCGATGCAGATGTGAGGGTACGGATTGGCAAAGCAAGGGCTGCATTTCTACAGTTGAAAAATATCTGCAACTCCAAACAACTTTCAACCAAAACCAAAATCAGGATTTTCAATACAAATGTCAAGACAGTTCTACTGTATGGAGCGGAAACATGGAGAACTACCAAAGCCATCATCCAGAAGATACAAGTGTTTATTAACAGTTGTCTACGCAAAATACTTCGTATTCGTTGGCCAGACACCATCAGCAACAACGAACTGTGGGAGAGAACAAACCAGATTGCAGTGGATGAGGAAATCAGGAAGAAGCGGTGGAAGTTGATAGGACACACACTGCGAAAAGCACCTAACTGCGTCACGAGACAAGCCCTCACATGGAACCCTCAAGGCAAAAGGAAAAGAGGAAGGTCAAAGAATACATTACGCCGAGAAATAGAGAAAGATATGAGAAGAATGAACAAAAATTGGACAGAACTGGAGAGGGAAGCCCAGGACAGAGTTGGTTGGAGAAAAACTGTGGGCGGCCTATGCTCCATTGGGGTTAACAGGCGTAAGTAAGTAAGTAAGTAATAGTATTCAAGCACATCAGTTGGCGAGCATATCACTTTTTTTTAAAATTTGAAAGTAATAATAGTAACAATAATAATAAGCTACTTTTAGTGAATTTTATGAAATTTTCGAATAAGCTTTGCGAATAACTATCAAATGGTCTGAAATTTGCTGTTCTCAGCAATCTATATCGGTCACTTTGAAAGATTAAATTGGTTTCAAAAGATCATTATATATATAAATATGAGCTTTGTTTCTCACAAAAAGATTTATTAATTTCTATAAATCAAACATCAATTCAAATGACTTACATTATGAATTGTACTACTACTCAACGCTGATCGTTGATTTTTTGATTTGTTCACCATTGAACAAAAATTGTCTTCACTTGGATATTGAGAAGGTTTCTTCGGTTTATTCTCTTTTTGTAATAAGTAAATAAAATTTTCCGGTCTACATAAATTCGACGTATTGTTTGGATTTATTTGATTCAAATATTTCGATTCAATGTCAAATTTTCTAGATTGATGTGAATTAGAAAACCTAGTTCGTTTATAATGATGATGCTGATGCTGATGATGATGATGACTATGACAACGTTGTAAAGATTTTCTACGTAAAAATTCATAATGTGCCATTTTATCATATTTAGCTTTTAATTCAGCTTCATTTATTGCTTTCATAAGAGAAGCTTCTTTCATTGGTTGTTGAGCACATAAGTAATAATAACGTTTTAATACTTCTGGATTAGGTTCAGGTAGGTTCGGTTTATCATAATGATATGATGAATGATTATTTCTCCTTCCTTGTTCTTCGTCTTCTTCTTGTTCGTGTTCTATGGCATGAGCATCATGACAATCAAGTGGTTCCCACCAACACAATGATGAGCTTGTAGATTTCGGTATTTTAAAACTATCTGATCGACTTGTTATGCTGTCACGTTTTAATGAAGATCGATGAAGTTTTGTTTGATTAGTTTTCGGTGAATAAGATACTTTTGGACTTGAAGGTAATTGTAAACGAGGTATATTTGGTTTATGATTTTGTTTCTTATTTATTGTATTGTAATTATCGCTTTCATATTCGATAGTTAGTTTTTCTAATTCAGGAGATATTCTATCACTGTATGGTAATTTATCAATTTCAAAATCATTGTATTTAAATTTGCTCAATTGTGAATCATAGCTACCTGTAAATCTATGAATTCCAGAATGTTTAAGAATACGTGTACATGCTGTAGAAGGAATATAAACTGGTAGAGGTGAACTGAATGGTTTCAACTTCTGTTCTATATCGTTCGTATTTATAACTGTTGGAGCATCTTGTCTATATGTTAACATTCTAGACGATGTCATGAATTCATCAGTATAATTTGGATTGGTTGGTTGAGACAATGCAATTGAATTATCTCTAATTAAATCATATGAAAGACTTGATGGTGAAGGAGACATTTCTCTTAGATAAATATGTTTTTGAGAAGAGTTGTATGATGGTGTAAAAATAGTATTATTTGTAAGAGGTAAATCTCTACTGGACTTCGTTTGGTAGTCTCTATGACGTGGGGTATCAGGTGTAGCTGAACCAACTCCAATACCTCTGAAATCATTCAAAGTATTTGAATTGAAATCGAATTCTGTTTGACACTGATTAAAAAGCTTTCTTTCTAATGGTATTTGTTGGATAGTTATTTCTTCATGAATGTTTGAAGGCTGAAGCGCCTCATTTATCACAGACTGTTGATTTAATGATACACTGAGAAACGAGTTAGCATATTCTTCCGAATTCTTATCATTTTTACTAGAGCATTCAGGTGAATTTGGACTCAATATTGATAACTGTGGTATTGGTGATGCCGAATCTTGTAAAGATAACATAATTTGTTCTGAATTAGATGATTCATTTACAACTGAGGATTTAGCTCGACTTAAAATATCCGAGACCAAATCACGTGACATCTTTTCAAGATTATCTTCAAATTCCAATACATCTTGAATATTTTCATCTTGTTCAACTGAAAGATTTGTCACTTCTGTCATTCCTATAAACATATAATGTCACAGAAAAAGAGCATTTAATGTATATTATCGTAAAACCAAATATTCAGATAGTAAAAATTCTTAGTAAACTAACTTATTTCTCTGTTTCATACGCATTCAAGAAAATTCAATGAAAGAAATGTGAATTTGATCACAACAGAATATTGAAGGAAATTTTCTATTTCAGTAGGACACAAATAAATGTTACATTGCGGGGTTGTTGTGAAGATTGTTAAGTTTTATTTGTAACCATGAATCGATCAATCTTAGACCACCATTAGAAACCTGGAAGCACTGGACGGCCGTGTCGTCCTGGTATGGGACTCCTCGGCAGTTCACGTCCACGACTCCTGCACCCCACAGGACTCGAACCCAGGACCTTCGGTATTGTGCGCGAACGCCGTAACCGTTAGACCACTGAGCCGGTATCTAACGGTGTTAATGTCTAACTTGGTGCAGGAGTCGTGGATGCGCACTGCTGATGAGTCCCATACCAGGACGAAACGGCCGTCCAGTGCTTCCAGGTTTCTAATGGTGGTCTAACATTGATCGATTCATGGTTACAAATAAAAAATAAATGTTATTTAAAAACGCTTCAACGTTATTTATGATTTCAATAATAAATCATTTAGACCTATGGTATTGAGTGAACATTGATGAGATGACGATGTGAGGTACACATAGAGTTGTTTTTTTTTGAAAACGTTTTGATCTGCCAAAATGTCACTTACATAGAACTACTGAACAGAAATGTTAAGTAATTTTCCGGCATTAATTACGTTACTTAAAACAAATTAGTAATATGTACAACATTATTACCGAGATATGGTATTTTAAAGAGATTTTGACCAGCACTAATAATTACATCTCTCTAAACTTTTAATAATTTGACCTGGATAAAATTTTGTTTTAACACACAATGCCTGCTGAGCAAAATAAATCTATAGTAAAAAATTATGACTTGTAATATTAGTCAATGGTAAAATTGTTTATTGATGTAAACAGTACGTGGTGAACTTGACAATAGATAGATTCAATTTGTGAACTTATCGACGAAACAAGTTAATAAATAATAAATGACATGAAATAAATATTCATAATGGCGGCATTGTCAAAAAAGAATGATTTAAAACTAGTAGTGAGGAAAATCATTACATGATTTTAATGCTGAACACGTACAAGATAGACCAACCAGTTAACTGGTCTCACTTATACGAAATGAAGCTTCATTATCAATAATCTCAAAAAGTTTTGAATCGCAAGTCAGGATTACTCAGATTACGCGGACTAAACTAGTTGCAGTACGTTTATGTCAATAATACTATCTAGAGTTTCAACGAAAATTAAATACTAAAGCCATTCATTCGTGAGAATAATATATGACCAACAGTAATAAGCTTAATCATAGATTTTGTTTACCAAAAAGAACTTTTCAACTTGCTAATAAGTTTACACTTTCGTTTCTATTTTTTTTTAATCACAAATAGTTAAATGACACAACAAGTTGATTGCTAAGGATATTCTGTTAAATCAATACTAAGGAGAGATTCGAATACAATACCATTCATTGTATCAAGAAATTAGTCAGATTTAAATGCGATTTTTGTTTTTAAGGTCAAACACTTCGTAATGTTGATTTTAGTGATCTCAATCGATTAGAGAAATTAATATTTGGCAGTAATTAGTGATTAGAATTTAGAGTGACAAACTGAATACGTTGATTACATTGATAGATGATAATGAATGAGTGGATATGAAGATAGTTTATTAAAAAATGATAATATACCAGAGATATATTTTACGACTTTGCGTCGTAGTGTTGTACCGAAACGTTCGATACTGATGAATCTTAACATTGTTTCAATTCAGATACGGTGTAAGTAACAGGGAAAGTTTAAAACATTTTCAGTCAGTCAATTACAACGTAGAACTTCGTACGAATGTACATCAGTTCAGGTTGCGATACCACATTAACACAGAGACGCAATTCTCAATTCAATTCCATAGTAATAGAGGTAGTAGAAGTATTAGCAGTAATTGAAGAGATTAGGGTTCGAAGATATTATTCAAGAAGTAGAATGTAGTGAAATAAACTTAAAAGGAAAAAGATAAAAGTGATGAGGAACTCTGAAGGTTAGAATTTGGGAGAACACAATGAATGAATGCACCTGTGCCATTGTAAAGGTTTTGAGCTATGTCACTCAGGGTCTCTAACCATCGATTATTATCATCTCGTGGACCCCAATCAGGCAGTCGACACCTACCAAAATGATCAGTCCACTTGTCAGTGACTTCATGGATTTGTGCCATGTTTTGATTTGACCGGCACTAGCTTTCTTCCAACCTACTCCTACATCACAAAACATAGGTCGACGAGGCAGTCGGTAGTCAGGCATACGTAACGCATATCCGAACCAACCCAAATAATGAAGTTTCAATACTTCATCTATTGGTTAGCGATCCCTATCCAATACTCGTTCCCTAACTACAACATTGCTTACTTGGTTGTCCCAGGATATACGAGCAATACTGCGCAGACATCTTTAATCGAATACTAATAACCTACTAATGTCCTCTACTCTTACCGGCTGTTTCGCATCCATAAAGTAGGAAGGAGCAAACTGCTGCACAGTAGATTCGTCCTTTCGTTAGAAAACGGATATATCGCCTACGCTGTAAGTGACAAAGTTTGGCAAAATCCAATCGAGCCTTCTTTATCCGTGCCGAGATTTCGCCACACACCAGGCCTTTCAGCACTGACGAGACTCCCCAGATAAGTGAAGCGGTCAACACGCTTAACAAACTATTTACCAAAATTGGAATGTATCCCATAAAATCATTTAGCTATGTTTAGTTTTGCTGTTATTAATTGATATATTTAATAGTGTCAGTTCTCCACATGAAATAATTTCGTTTATAGTAGCTCACATTTTCTTATTGAAATAAAAATTAAAATTGAGAGATTAGTATCAAATACCTGAATGAGGCAATCATGTTTGTCTCAAAGGTATAATGAAACATATGGTTAACTCTGGTTTAAAGCATGTCTTAAAACCGGACGAAGAGTAAAGTGGTAAAAACTCTGAAAAACAGCTTGTGGATTATTATTTTATTTACTTTATTGTGTAACCATTAAATAACTAGATTACCAAGTGTAAATTCCTTTTACCATAAGCTTTCCATTGACCCATATATTATTATCAAATAGTTTACTATTCGTATCTTGCTGAAAATATGCTTGTTACAGTTTTCCTCATTCATAAACACTTTTGGCTCATTCATGTATAGTTGTTATTTTCTATTTATTGATGTGATAAGATCTAGTTAGCATGTATTAGAAGGAATGTCTGGAATATACTGACTACCCTGGACTGGTAATCATTTGACGTTTGTCCGGGGCTAGTTAGTATCAGGCCGATAGCCAAGCTTAGAGTAGCAGCTTTTTTATCCTTGTTGCCCATTGGTTTCTGAAATGCCGTCTCTGCTTATTGGTCAATATTAAGACATAACACTTTGTACTATAAGGTGGGGAAGACGTTCGTCCGTTATAAACATCTCTTTTTATCTGGATGCTAGCACCCAGTTCATAATAACTCCTGGGACAGAAGTTTACAAGGATACTTGGGATTGGAGTCCCCTATTTTCTATTTAGGAGCTTCAAAAATATCCCTAAAAAGTAACTACGATATTCCAAGTTTTTTGAAATTCCATGCACTGGCTTGGTCACTCAACGATCTGGAAATAATGTCTTTCATACATATCTAAATGGAATTTTCTATAACTTAAAAGGATAACTACCAACTGGACAACTGTAATTTGTTGGTTTGCTGAGTTATCACGTTGTTGGCGGCTGTTTCTCCCATGATAAAGTGAATGTTGCTGCATTCTCATTAGCACTTATATTTATGTACTATTATTTTGACTAACTATTTATTCGTTTAAAATTGTGTTTAGTGTAAGTGTATTATCTCAGCCACCGTTCTTGGTTTTTACAATCAAATTCGCTTTAGTCAGTCAACCAATCGATAGTAAGAGGAAGAAGTGGTTAATAGCACAGTTATATTACTTAGAATATCAGAAACTTCGTAATTTTTGATAATTGCGATATCTGACACAAAAATGTGTAGTTTTCTTTTGTAAAGGGAGACGAATGTTTTCTGAATAAAAAGATGTTTTTCATTCCTTGATCGTATCTTTATAGACAAAAATTGAAGAACAACTTTATCACTGCACGGCAAACTCTAGGATGTAGGTCCAACTAGATGCATTCGTCAACAAATCTATTTTTTAAGATTCATTTTTAAGTCTGTCAGTGGTACTGAAAATCAGCAATTTTTCTGTGTCTAATAAGGGCTTTTGTCTGCCATAGGAATACAGTTATGGAGGTAAGATAGTATTGTGGTCATTTTAAAAGTTAGCACGCACTTTACAACCATTCCGTCGTGAGTTCCTTTTTCTGAGTCACAATTATTCTTACAATCTGATGCTCAAAATTTGTTTGAACTCAAAAAATATTCAGTAATTCTGATTCATTGGTGAAAAGAACAAACACATGCAATGCCTTTCATGTGATTTTAAATGTCTAAAACGCGGATGTTTAAGCTTTGAAAACGTCTTATGAAGCATGCAAAACAAATGAGCACTATGGCATTCCGAAAATGAATCTTAGTCAACTACAGAGACTTTCAGGCATCGGATTGTTGGTCAAATTGTTAACAATTATTTTTCACTTTTTCAAGCACACTTATTACATGGTGTTTTTCGGATAAACTTTGATTTTTTACTTGATTTTGTTGTTTCGCAGTTATGTTACAAGTGACCTTACATTGCAATTCTTGGAAATAGTCTAATAAACTTTATTAAAATGATCAGATAAAAGCCTCTCATTTTAGACGTTATCCCCGAGTTGACACGAACGATAGTTCTTAGGTAGAAAAAAAAGTATACTGATCCTGCTTTAATATTTTTGCATTCATCTTGATCTTCAGATGTTTGCTGTC